GGTAACTTTCGTTTTGTTGTGAAGGCACTGCAGGTTGAAAAGCTGACCAACCCCAATTCTGGGAGGAAGGCAGTCACAGATGAGATTCAAAAATCACAGCAAGATAGACAGAGAAAATGGCTGGGGTGATGATGCATCCTTTCTTGGCACCAGCATGGATGGTAAATGGGTACATCTCTGATCCATTGCAAAGGACTGTAGTGGTTGTCAGTAGCCTGAGAATCCTGATGAACTTCAATGGACAACCAAACCTAGCCAGCACTTTCCATAAGGCTTCACAATTGATGGAGTCAAAGGCCTTGGTTGGATAAATGAATGCCATAAACAGCTTCTGATGTTGTTCTCTACACTGCTCCTGGATCTGTCATGCAAACAAAAATCATGTTGGTGGTACCCCACAATGGCCTAAAGCCACACTGGAATTCTGGAAGGACGTCTTCAGCAAGGGGGACTGTCGCAGTGCACTCAGGTGCCCTGCGCCTGAGAGCAGGGACTGCTCTGGGGAGACCCCTAGTGGCAGAAAGGGGGAGGTTTAGCTGCCAGTTGCCAGGGCTACACAGGTGCTGGTTGCCGGGACAACTGGTAAAACCAGCTGACCAGGAAGGGGCAGGGCTTATCCCTTCTTAAGCCCAGGCAGGAGGCCAGGAAGGCAGTCCCTCTCCAGCAGCCGTGAGAGTAGGGGCTCAGCCCAGACAGCCAGAGGGGAGGACTCTGGCCATGAGAACATCCCCTGGTCACTGCTGAGGTTGGTGGAGCCCTTCTTCCACCACTCCTGCGCTCTCTAGTAGGGAGGAGATTTTTGGTCGACCGGACAGTCTAGTTTTTATGTTGTAGCCCAGGGGCTTTATGTTTTATGTTTACTCTTTTCACCGGAGGACCGGGCGAGGCTGTAGGGGTAGAGAAGGCCTCAGTAGGAGCTCCCCAGTAAGGTGGGGGTGTTCCAAGCACCGCAGGGGCCGCTGCATTTTGGGGGTGTCCTGACCCCAGCCCAGTGTGGGCGATTAATCAGGAAGAGTTCGGTGTAGGGAGAAGCCCCAGTGGGGCGTGAGACCCAGGAAAGGGGTCCAGGGCCAGGTAAGGCCGAGGCCACCTGAGCCCCGAGGGCAAGAAGCGCGAGACAGGCCCCAGTTGGGGCAAAAGCGTGAGCGTGGAGGGACAGGCCCCAGTGGGGCACTGTCTGTACGGGAGAAGCCCCGGGAAGGGGCGGGCGTATTGAGGAGCCCCGGGAAGGGGCATGTACATAGAGGCAAGGCCCCGGGGTGGGCTATGAGAACCCGGGAGGAAGGCCCTAGTGCAGGCAGAGCCCCAGGGAGGGGCGTGCAGGCAAGAAGCCCAGTGAGAGCACAATGTTCAGGGGCAACCGACCCCAGCCCAGTGAAAGGGGCACGGTGGATTTAGGGGCCAGGCATGGCTAAGGCCACCTGAGCCCCAATTGCAAGGAGTACCAGTTTGGGCACTGGCAAGAAGCCCAGAGGGTGCTCGTGTTATGCCCCAGGGCAGGCACACATGAATATGCTATAGAGATGAGCCCCAGGGGAGGGCGATCCTATCGAGGCAGGCGCCCAGAGAGAAGCCCCGAGAGGGCTAGCGAGCAGGGGGGCGCCAGTGAGGGGCGCCAGGTGCGTGACAAGCCCAGGGTGCCAGTGAAGGGCGCCGGGTGCATGACAAGCCCGGGGGCGCCAATCAGGGTGCAGAAAGGAAACTGACCAGACCACTTCATCTGCGAGGCTTGGGCTGCAGTGTAGGGGAGGAAAAGGAGCCGCAGGTAGCGCCCCCTGTCATCGGGGCACAGAAAAATGGGCAGCCTCCCACTGATTACAACCATCTTCTAATCAGCTAAGATCAAGGCGTGGCAGGTGACTTAGCAGGCAGTTGGCCCATTACAGGAGGGCAGAGCCACTCCCAGAAAGGCTTCAATATGGATACTCCTGTCACAGGGACCTTCCTGGCAATGGGCAATATCTTGGTAGTTCCCACACACTGACTAGTTCCCCTTCCTGAAGATGACCACAACGTTGGAATTCTATGAGTCAGGTGGAGTTTCCTTGTTAACCCATATTTTGATGAGAAGTTGGTGAAATTTTTGCGCTAGTGCTGTTCCAGCAGCTTTGAAGACCTTTGCAGAAATGTCATCTGGTCCTGGTGCTTGTTGTTCTTGGTCTGAGTGATGGCACACCAGACTTCCTTGAAGGATGGGGGATCAGCAAGAGATTATATTACTGTGTGTTGAGGGATGGACTTGATGGTGGCAGACAAGACCTCAGGTTCACAGCTGAGTAGAATCTTGAAGTGCTCCTTCTGGCATTGTTTCACGGATACATTACGTGTGAGAAGGGTAGAGCCATCGTTGGTTTGCCAGGCGTCTGGGCCACTGGAACATGGCCCATGAACAGCTTTTATTGCTTGGAAGAAGCTTCTCATGTCCAGCTGGAGTACAACTATCAATTGCTTACAGATTCTATGCAGCAAGAGCAGCTCATATAAAAGGAACTTAAATTTCAAGTCACTTTCTTAAAAAGCAATGTTAGATTTACTACTTAATTTTTTTTTAATATTCAGTGCAACAATTTATTAAGTCTTTGCATTACCTTTAACAGGATATGTGTACTAGGATCCCATGAACAAGTTAAAGCCAGATGAAAAGTCTCAGCGATATGTGCAAAAGGCTTTTTAATCAAAAAGGTATGAAACCAATCAGCCACACGAGAGCAGGAAAATACTTTTTAGGGAGATACAGATAAATGGAATATCAGAAGTTTCAGACCACAAAATATATTTGATAAGATGTCCACTGGTAATATATAAATAGCACTACTAAAAGTTTAAGGGTGGATTCCCAAGGCAGACTTTCAAAGGCACTTAACAGTGAGATTTTTCAAAAGTAGCTTAACACTGCTTCCCCACTTTAGGCCAATGCTTTTAATGAACTATAAACTACTGTCTTTTTCCAGGTAAATCAGAAATTTAACTTCCTCATTAGCTTATGCCACCTGGACTTTCAATGATTAAATGCCATTAATCTATAGAATATAATCAACCTTTCAAAGAAGGTAACAGAGCATTTCACAATGATAACTTTTTCATGTGGTAATGAACACTTCTTACTCACTCACAAGATACTAAGCTCTCTCAAGATAATATGCTTGATAGTAACAACCTACCATGAGTGTTTGTACCTTTAAGAATTCTCTCTGAAACTTCATTATAAAATGACAACATTGTCAGATCTAACCTTTGAAGACAAACTCCAGACTATACACCTAAATTGCCAAACCAACATTCCAGCTCTTCAACTCCAAATCTATCAAATAACTAGAAATACTTTCAAAATAATTTCTGTGGACACGTACAAGAGTAAATATAATGACTTGAAGAAAATGAGCGATTTGTAATAACCTATAATAATGCCTATAATAGCACAAGGCAGTGCTGTGCAGACATACCAGAGCTGGCTTATTCCGAGTTAGTTCAGGAAACTGCATTGCACGGTGTAAATGTATCTAAAGCACATGCTAAGGAAGCAAGGCTAGTTAATGAAGAGAATGCTGCACTAACAGAGCTGCTTCTAGTACCCAAGTAAAAACACCCATCACATTATTACCACTGTGCCTTATAGATATATCTTCAGATTGCAGGTGTATATTAGTGCATTCAGAGAAGAGAATTGAATATAGCATAAGAGATTAAAAGAAACAAAGCAACATAATTGTCTCCAGTATCACATTTAGAAGGTTAAACCAACAAGCTAAATAAAATAAGCATGTCACATGCTAGTGTCCTCATGTAATACTTTTAAAAATACTGACCTGCTGATAAAATAAAGCAATAGGGTTACTATAGAAAATTAACAGAGTTAAGATTAGGGGTGCACTGATAAAGATTTTCTTGCCCAACACTGATGGCCGGTTATTAACAAGCCACATCGGCTGACACCAATCCAATAGTTGATTTACAGGAATGCAGCCCAAGCACCATGGAGAGCAGCATCTGGGTGGTAAGTCTGTGTGGGGAAGGGGCGTTGGGGGAGGAAAGGAGCATGGTGGGGAGGGACACAGATTAAGGCCCTGACAGTGACGGAGGGAGTGGGGCTGGGGCAGGGTCTGCCCAGCCAAGGTAATGGATGCAACCCCAGGGCCAGAAACAGGAAAGAGCTGCAGGCAGCTCATCCAGGGAGCACTGAGGGGTGGGTGGCTCCCTTGCTGCTGCATGCACCCCTGGGGGAGGCATAGGGGGTATGTGCCACACAGATTTGTGTGCAGGGTGAGGGTGGGCTGCCAGTTTGGGGCTGCGCCAGCCTCTTCCTGACAGTAGGCTGGGCCAGGGCTGCACTCAGGGTAAGCAGGAACAGGGCAGGAGGTGGCGGCAGCACTAGAAGGGGTGGCTACAGTGAATTTTGCGGTAGCTATAGCCCACCTCGTAGCCACCCCTCCCAGTGCCACCACCATCCACCCTGCCCCTGGCCTGCCCCAAGCACAGCTGGGGCCCAATCAGAAAGAGGCCTGTACAGCCCCTGGCCCTGAGCCCGCAGTCCATCTTTGCCTCGCACAAATGCGAGGGGCACATGTTCTCTGTGGCTCTTCCAAGACTGCACAGTGGCAGGGAGCTGCCCCCCTCCCTACTCACTGTGGATGAGCCGCCTGTGGGCCCACCCTACTTCTTACCCTAGGGTTGCATCCACCTCCTTGGCTGGGCAGTACCTGCCCCTGTCTGATCCCTCTCTCACCATGAGGGCCTCGATCTCCATGCTCAACACCCCCCACTTTCTGGCCAGACTCTGCTCTCCAAGCTGCTGGGCTGTATTCCTGGTCATACGCATTCTGCGGCTGTGCACATGCATGCAGCATTTATTGGTGACATTAGTAGCTACATTGGCCAAAAAAAGTAGATAGTCAATAATGTTAATTTTCCTTTTATCAGTGCCAAGCTATATGCTACCAACATATCAGTGCACCTCTAGTTAAGATACATCTCACAAAACAAACAATACACTATAAACCTACCTTTGGAAGCTCTTCAATCTGATTAGCATCTAAATAGAGCTCTTCCAAGGTCTTTTCAAAGGTAAAAATCTCCTTAGGCACCTGTTCCAGGCTGCAGTGAGAGTAATCAAGCGTAGTAACAGTTTCTTCTTCCCCACGCAGACAGCGGCATGGCACCAGCCGCACAAACAAGTTCCTCTTTGTCGTCATTTTCAGGCACTGCAAAGGAAAATAGAGGGGTTTATGCATTATAAATTACTTTACCGTTTGAAAAAAATGCTTAATGAATTCAAGTGTTATTAACCCAACAACTTATGTGATGCACTAAAAACAAGAGGGGAAAAAACAATGCTTTCGCTAAAAGCACGGAAAGTGTGTTCAGCACAAAGTTAAATATTTCAAGGGCTGCAGAGTACTGACAAGTTCTACTTAAATCCATGGTTACGGTGGGTGACAAGCAATTCTGAAGAATCAGGCCCTAGATTTTTATATAATCTTTTTCTCCTCTTTAAAAAAAGTTATTAGAATTGTTGCTTTATATTGTGAAGTTTCACTATAAAAGGGGCATTACATTTCAGTTACCAGAAAACATAACAATGGAGTTTGAAAATTTAAATTACATTTAAAAGCAGAAGGTAGCATGGCAGAACAGCAGTTAAGATCAATTTATAGAAACCATGTTATGACACCACCTCAACAAAAAAAATGAGCTTTTTAGAAATAAGGTTTAAAAGGTACTTAATCACAGAAAGCTCAAGAAAATTCTACATTTCCATCTACAGTCTGGAAAACTTTTATATATAAATACCTGTGAACTTCTCATGCTCCCTGAAAAACATTCTATGCTAAAAAATTTTATTGGAAAAGACGGAACCCACTTTTTTGGAAGCACAAAAAGTAGCTGAATTCAATGACCCAACTTAATGGACTTGTAGTTAGGGATACACTGATAAAGATTTTTTGGGCTGATGCCAATGGCCGATTATTAACGAGCTGGAATACTTTGTCCAGTTTTGGGCCCCCCACTTCAGGAGGAATGTGGAAAAGCATGGGAGAGTCCAGAGAAGAGCCACTTATATGATCCAATGCCTGGAGGGCAGGCTATAGGAGGAGAGGCTGAGGGATTTGAGACTCTTCAGTCCGGAAAAAAGAAGGCTCAGGGGTGACTTGGTAGCAGCCTACAATTATATAAGAGTGTTACATCAGGACCTGGGAGAACAGCTGTTCACCAGAGCTCGCCAAGGGATAACAAGGTCTCACGGCCACAAACTCCAGGAAGGCTGATTTAGACTAGACACAAGGAAAAAGTTCTTTACAGTGCATGTGTCCAGGGTCTGGAACAGACTCCACCCAGAGGTGGTACAAGCACCTATTTTAGCCACTTTCAAAAAACTTCTGGATATTTTTCTTGCTGGGATCAAGTGATCCCAGCAAGACTTCCTACCTATGGCGGGGAGGCTCGACTTGATCTCACAAGGACCCTTCCAGCCCCTAATGTCTATGAAATCTATGAAATATTGGTGGATACCGATCCGATTGCTGATATGCAAGCCTGGCAATTTGGAGAGCAGCATGCAGCTAATAAGTCTGTTGGGGGGGGGG